AAATCCACGCCAAAAATCCAATTTTTCTCGGATTTTGAAATTTCTTTCACCATTACACTCCCAGATAGTTGCTTTCTGCAATCCAATATCAAACTCAATTTTTTCGAAATTTTTAGTATTTTAAAAAATTGCAATTCGGAATGAGGATTGTTGTAGTAATCAACAACGCAAATTATGCCTGCGAAATAGTCATCAGCAAAATTGAGTTTGATATTGGATTGAAGAAAGCAACTATCTGGGAGTGTAATGGTGAAAGAAATTTCAAAATCGGAGTAAAATTGGATTTTTGGCGTGGATTTGAGTGAGTGAAAACTGGAGTGAAAGCGTTTTTTGGGCATTTTTGAGTGGGTGTGGCGGGCGCAGATGGGGCCATGGAGTCAAACCACTTCAGGGTTTTAGTTCACTCATGGGTCCCTACCACATATCCAAAGGGCATCAAGATCTGTTATTATCAACCTCGCAAGCTCCCCTCCTTAGTTGCGAATTTCATTGTGTGCCGATATGTACGTGTGGTATCCCTGGACTTGAAATTTTATGGGTGAAATTATCCATCCCACACTTTAATTACTGACCAAAACCGGTGGAGATGTGCATCGTGTGGTGGGTGCTGTGCTATTACGACATTTATTTCCACTTCCTTTAACCTTAATTTAAACGAAATCATCCTTGCGTTGCGCCACAGTTTCATTAACAAAGCTGGTCAGTCAACAGTGGTGTCGTCTTGGTGGTTTTCCTTAACCATACTCGGAGTAATTTGTAATTTGTGGTGAGAACATTGTCCCATTCCAAAGCGTCGTCAGACAGCATTTAACTGACTGGATGTTGATGATGATGAGAGTGATTCATGTAGAAAAACTCATTCAAGAATCAAGATCACATTACAGAACGCTACATAATATTCACATCCATTCCTCCTCTCCCCACATTTGCTGAGTGAGCAATGCAACACGGTCCTCCAACAACTACATACAACTACTGATTAAGTGAGTGGTTTGACTTTGTTAGTTTTTTAATCTTGTGGTTGCATACACAACTCGAACAGTTTGACTGCAATGTGTAAGTACTTACATACAACATTATTCGGGATGTGGTCATTCAATGCTATTTTGTTCGTTTGCGATGCACAGTTGGGTGCTGGATGGATGGATGGACTGGTATTCCTCTAAAGTAGCAGTTACAAGATCATTTCGTTTTTCATCTGATTTTTCTGTCTGAACAGTTTTCTTTGAAAATCTCTCCAGTATTAGAGTTGGGCTCGGTTACGAATGTGTAGTGTTTGTTCTGAGTGAGTGAGTACATACGCCAGGGGGTTGGCTTGGCTAGTCAAGAACTAACTACTATAAACCTAACTATCAAATTGAACTCAATTACGTGTCGATTATTTAATATTTTCTGCTGCGACAAAACAAGTTTTTCTAACCGTATCGAATTATTTATACGAATATTGTGACCCATAAAGTGTGATCGATCAAATTCAGTGTTTGCATAGTAGTAATAATATTAATGGCTCTATTTGCCCAGTTTTGTGTACCAAAACCAATGACCAAACACAAAGCAAACTTTCTTATCAATTCTAGTAGTTGCATTATGCGGTCTGTAATCTGGACCAGCAGCAGCAGAATAAACAGGAAACTCAAACCCAGGCCAAATTCACCTTGCTCTACTGTTCGCTTTCTTCGTAATCGGCACTACTCATACATAAATCAGTGATTGTTTATGTTTTGTCTGGAAATGAGCATAAAAAATACATGCTTTGTTTTTCATATTTTATTCGGTGACTCAAAATATTTTGTGCATAAGTGAGCTGTAAATCAACAGAAAGTGAAGTGGTTAAATCAGTGGTTAAACCCGAATCAAGTCACGCATTTAGTGGAAGAGTAATTCCTGGCACCGTGATCAACTTGTGTTTCATTGTGTGTCAGGAATCCTCAGGAAATTCTCACGAGTTTATTTTTAGGTAATTTTACCCTAAGGAAAATACTAGTTTATATGAAAACCAGGTTTGATTTAGTCGTGAATACATAACGTTTAGCTTTTGGTACGTAACATTACGGGAAAATTTAACGCAACTTGTCCATGACCTTCTTCCCTTTCGATCAGGAAGTCTACATATATTTATAAATACATAGTTGTTTTAAGACATAAAACTTAAGAGTGTGCACTCATTTACATAATAACGTATTGGATTCGTATTGGATGCATATTACTGCTTTTAATACAAGCTGTGCAATTATGTACAATACTACCAACACCTTGTTAAACTTAGCAGAGCTGAATAAATACTTGTGCAAATATGCCACTAAAGTACTAACTCAACAATTGAAGACAAATTTTGTCAGCTGAAATCCATACTTGTATTTTGTTCAGAGCTTGTTAGTAAAACATTTTTCCAGTGTTTTCTACTGATATGGATTTAATTTATGAATATAATGCAGAGCTAAATACATATGTAAATGAAGAAAAGTTTTTTTTATGCATTTGTTTCAGAGTGGTTTACAGAATGCATTAAAGCCAAGTTGAGTACATTTTCCAAGTCGCATTCCATGTCACATTCTATGTTAGGATTAGATTATCTAAACGCCAAACTTCCGTCAACTTTGTCACCATTACGTATTGCGTTTGCTCGGCTTCATTTCCGCTGGGTTTTTGAACAACGAACGAGATTTTGTAGGTAAAAAACTTTCTGGTATCAATCATCCATAACGTTTAAATGATCGTTTGTCCAAATGAGATCTGATAATTATAATTTTTCCTATGGGTGACAATGTCTCTACTTGAAAGCATTTACGAGTATGTACATATGTGATAAGCAAAAGTTTGCAGAATGGCGATAATGATAAGGGTTTTGTTCACTAATTACATTACACAGGGGTTTACGAATAGTTTATTAAGTAGCTTCAGCTACTTTATGTGAAGACTTTGTCTGTCTGTCTGTCTGTCTGTCTGTCTGTCTGTCTGTCTGTCTGTCCGTCTGTCTGTCAGCAGGATAACGGGAGAACGGATAAAGATAATCGAAATAGGTTTTCGCCATCATACATAATACCCCAGGGGGAGGATCCTATCAACTTTTGGGTGCAACCGGACCACACCCCCGGTCGCCAGGGGGTGTGGTCGGGGCAAAATGAGATTTTTAGTGCAATTGAATCTATGGATGAAATGGAGTGACATTTAGAGTTCCCCCGTTGTGCCACACCCCCCGGGCGCCAGGGGGTGTGGTCGGGGCAAAATGAGATTTTTGAAAAAATTGAATGCATAGATGAAATACAGTAGAATAAAGTGCTCCCGAGTTGTGCCACACCCCCTCGTCACTAGGGGGTGTGGTCGGGGCAAAATGAGATTTTTGAAAAAATTGAATGTATAGATGAAATACAGTAAAATCAAGTGTTCCCGCGATGTCGTGGGAGTGCTTGGAGTGAAGTAGTCTGAAGCTACTTCCGTATGCGCGTTTGCGACGGTTTATTTGCATTGCAATTTTATTGGTAGTGCCGAATGATAAGCCTAGTCAGTGGGGAAAACAATTCTCAGAAACTATGCCTGTATTTACTACTTTTGCGGAGAATGGAGGGGGTGGGAGTTCGGTGTGATGGTTTACTGCAGGCAAGCCATTTAAAAATTTAGTACTTTTGGGAACATGAACAGTATGGATTATGGATGAGTTAAAAATTCGTATAAATAATCCTAGTCTATGTATATAATTTAAACTATGTAAACTTCCAATTGTCATAAAATTCGTACATTCTATGAGGATTTTTGTAAATTCCATTCTTTTTTTAAATAGTGCTCCACTTAACACTTTTACTCAAAAATTAAATTTTATTTTTAACACACCATCGTCATTATTAGGTAATGTAGACGAAAAAGGTATAAAAAACTAATTTCCAGTACGGAGATTTTAAGTAAAGTGGTTTAGCTACTATATGGTCCAAATATAGTCCTTTTCTAAGGACAATCAAGTCTGAAAATATATTTCAAAAGACAATTTAAGAACAAGTTTCACGTATTTTGTCAGGGGGTGTGGTTCACAGTGTGATGTGATAATTGAAACTAATTTGAAGGAATTGTTCATATGCATGCATGCTGATCATGGAAATGGAGAGTGATACGAATTTGAAGTTCCAGACCAAAAGTTATAAAACACAAAATCTTGTATAATATACGTAAGGAGTAGATTTCAAACTGGTTGGTTTATATTATGCTACCAATAAGGTTTACGATTATTTTATATACAAAGCCAAAATCCCACTATTTTTACAAAATCGGTTAATTAGACCAATAAGTTGACCAAATGTACAAAATGGTGGCAGTAGGTTTGTATTGAATAGTACACATTTTTCACAAGAACGAATTACCAAACCTGCACACATGTATTTTAATCATAACTCAGTCGACACTCGAGCAGACTGTTTTTCTTGAAGTAAAAGTGTTCGTAATGGGAAAATTGAGAATTTTAAGCAGCACAAAACCTTATGCACATACACGCACCCCGAATAAAAGTAAGACAAATGCTAACTCAGCAGTTGGCAGTGGTCTCAATAAATTGATATAGTACTTTTAAACCCAAGAATCCAACATGTTACAAATGTTGATTGCATGAATAATTTAATGATATCATAGTTGACATAATGGCGTCAACATTTGTTTGGAATTGAGAGATTTGGCAAGCGTTGTTGAGTGTAATGTGCATAGTTTTGTGCGGGTCAAAACTCAAAACAACGACACATGGAGGAGGGCATAAAAAATGAAATCATGTACTGTTTGTCGGTTCTGGGAATTGCCAAAGCACTACTGAGATGATGATACACGTGGAATGTGTACGTATTTACGTACGTATATGTGTTGCGGAGGTGTTATACTGTTTGTGATACCACCAATTTGTGTACAATGTGCTTTTCCCGATATTGTGCCCCTTAATATGATATTCAGCTATAATAAGCATACGCATCACACTTGGTTGGTTATACATATGATGGAATATAATAGAGCAACATTTTTGGCACTAGGACGGAATTCGGAGGAAGTATTTCGACTTCTGCTGGCTGGTGTAACATGGATGGGTCCGGTTGGAAAGTGGAAAGACAGTTTCAGCACAGTTTGAGCCAGTCAACAACTCGAGTTTTGCAAAGCCAAAATATCCGCGTCTCCTCCTCCACCAATTTTAGACAAGTAAGTTATCCACCTCATTTACCCTTTTCTCCAGCTTTAGTTTCCTCTATTGTGCTCAAAGTTGAGTCCTGTTTCGCTGGAGAAAGTCGTGACTGGTTGAAGGGAGATGAAGTACAGTTCACTTTTCAAACACAACACCTCCCACTTTCTACACGCTTTCCCTTTCGTGTGTGATTTTCCTCTCGATCACTTGGTCCTTTATTTGCTTGAAATGCATCTCATTGAGCATTCCGGACCGGACGACTGACATTTTGTTGCTCTTCACTCTCACGTTGAGCGAGTGCTGTTTCGTGTTCAAAGTTTCATTTTCCCCGTTTCTCTCTGAATATAAGTAGATTTACTTATCTGGAGAGGCTCGCACATCAGTGAGACAGGCGTGTGTTTGAGGAAGAAGTGAATATTTATACATTGAACGGGATCCGAATTAGTCGGTGCAGAGAGTGAGTGTTATTGTTATCTGTCTGATTTTCGTCTTGCAAACTTTCTCCAGCCAGTCTCAACTTTCCCTTTTAAAGAACTTTGCTTATTAAACTATCAAGAAACCTTTGGAACATTGATATCCTTATTGCTGTGCCATAGACACAGTTTCCTTTGATCATGGAGGAAACTGCTTGGAATAACGACGCAACCTCCTCCTCCTCACCGGAGATGGAATTGCTAAAGAAGAAAATGATGGAAAAGATGTCTTTTGACATGCCCATGCCCATGCCAAACGCGATGACCACCACAACCACCACCAACTTTCCCTCCAGCCTTCTCAATGGCTCCTCCCTCTCGGGGATGATGTCCAAGGATGGCTTCTCGATGACGACGAGAGAAATCAAGGCTGTCAAGATGGAACAGGCACAAGTACAATTCTCCTCATCCTCCTCGAGATCTTCGTCCCAGCAGACGAGTGGGAGTCTAATTTCTGGTCAAATTGGGAGTAGTGTTGTGGGTGGAACGCCGACTAGCAGTTCGTGGATGACGAGTATGAATTTGGGGGGTGTTCAAGCGATGGAAAAGAAAATGGCGTCGTCATCCACGATAAGCTCCAATTCATCGTGTGCTTCCACGACAGCTTCTGCCACGCTTGGAATGGGGGTGACGAGGAGTTTTTCGTCTTCGTCAGGTTTCCCCCCAACCTCCATGTCCAGTGGATCGATTCATTCGGACGGGGTTGATTCCGGACTGTCCTCTTCGAATGCCCTGGTTTCCAGTAACTTTCCATCGTTTGGTGGTTCCGCCTCGTTCTCTCCCCTCAAAAGGCCCTTTGGGTTTAGAAACTTTGACCGACCGCTGTGGATTGACATGCCGTTTGGAGCGAAGGATAACCAAGCTAATATACGAAACACATGGGACCCTGCCATGATGTTGAGTATGAAAAACTCTGGAAGTCAAGTTCAGTTTAGTGCGTCACAACATACATTTTTTGAAGCGTCAAACGGTTCATTTAGGTGAGTTTCTATATTGAAAATTAAGTTAAAGTCAGTCGATAATTCGTGAAGTTAACTTTAAATTTATGTGCAGGGCGTTTAAAGATCAGCGTGTTTTCCTAAGACAATCGTACGGTGAGGCACTTTTATTATTAGTAAATATTTTAGTAGCAAATAGTACCAACCATATCCAACACGTCTAAACTTCAGCCAAAATAAACACAAGACCTAAACAATGTTTACTTTCTTATTTATTAATTATTTGGAATTCAGGTGCTTCTGAATCCGAATCGGAAAATGAGGATGATGACGATTCCGACTCTGACTTTAGGAGTTTCATAACATATCCAAATAAGCGATCGCTGACGTACAAGCCGAAATTGGCCATTGCTGAGAAACCATATTACGAACCCTCTGAAACAGATGATACCAGCTCCGTTGCACCTTCAGATTTGGATACCAGGTTAATTTAACTCACTTTTTAATTGAACTCACTGTGTTAGGTATCTCCTTAACAGAATTGTCATTTAATGTGTTTGGTAATATAGTCCCAGAGACAGCATTATCGAGACTTCCCTCCCTTCCACACCTGAACATCGCAAATGTTTCAAAGTTGCTCAAGAACTCCTCACAACGGTATTTTCTCATTTATAGCAGTTTCATACAGAAAAGAGTTGCACATGTCATTAAACTATATTTCGTTGATTTAGGAAAGAACCTACGTTAAGATTTTACACCTTATCGATCAAATTTTCCACTTTCGGGTTGATCAAGAAAATCGAGTCCAACAAATGTTCCCTCAGGAAACTATCACTCAAATCTTTTGCAATATCAAATCTCTCTTCAAACTACATAATGATCATTTACTGCCAAAATTAGAAGAAAGGCTGTCCAAATGGGACGATAATCCAAAAATTGGTTTGTTCCCCATACATTTTCTTATCAAATATTATTTACTTGAATTTACATATTTACGTAGTATAATGTTTTAACAATCCACAGGGGACATCATGACTAACTTTTCTCCATTCTTGAAAATGTATTCGGAATACGTTCAAAATTTTGATAACTCGATCAACCTCATTAACGTGTATCGGGAAAAGAATACGAGGTTCAGACAAATTATTGATGACATTCAGGTTAGTCCTTTCACTCCATTCTACTAAACTTAGGATTAGCCACATTAGTAAATAATGGTTAATGGGCATGTACATATCAATCAACAGAAACTCGAAGACTGTGGAAATCTTCCAATTCAACACCACCTAATTGGTCCCATACAAAGGATACCACGATATCGCCTCCTGCTCGAGGCATACCTTCGTCGCCTCCCTGACGATTCTGCAGATAGGCCAGAAACTGAAAGTGTGATGATCAAATTAAGAATATTTGAAAAGTATAATACAAATCATAACACTATTTACTTTATTTTTGCATCTACAGAAGCCCTTGAAATCGTATCTAAAGCAGCAGAACACGCCAATGAGGCTATGCGACGAATTGTGGGGTTCAAAAAGTTATTGGAAGTTCAAGAGAAAGTAAAAGGTGTAGTTGATCTCGTTAGTCCAACAAGGTTGCTTGTTAAGGAAGGGAAAGTTAGCAAAATATCTGCAAGAACGGGCGACCACCAAGAACGGCACATGTTCCTCGTAAGTAAAGAAAATTATCCATTTTCGCATGACATGAAACAGATGTCTGTGTTTTTAACCCTGTTTGACTTTGACATTTTTATTTGATTGTTTAATAGTTCAGTGATTTACTCTTGTTATGCTCATCAAGACCAATAATGAACAAGATGATTTCCATTGCTCCATATCAATTAAGAGCTAAATTGGACGTCGGCATTATAACAGTGGCGGAGGGAGATGATTTGGAAGTTGCTAACACTTTTTATGTCGAGGATAATCACAAGAAGATTGAGCTCTACACTTCGTAAGTGATTTATATTTTGGACGGATTTAGCACTCGCTTACTCATGCTTGACAAAGTATTTGTATTCAAATGTCAGACGATACATGTCCTAAATTTCAACACATGTTGCACATTTTTTTGTGCTTGATTTTTTGGGAGGGAGGAGACGACTAATCGTGATACTTATTTTGGCATGAATGAGTACCATCCATTATACTATTATTCTCTGTGATCTGGTATTTCAGAACGCCTCAAGAGAAAGCTGATTGGATGACTGCAATTCACAATGCAAGAGAAGAGTTGTTGGAAAGAAAGTCTTCCTTGAGGTTGGGCTCAGCCAGTCCTACGGAAGATGAACTTGGTCTCAAAGAACCTGCTAAATTAAAAAGCGATTCCGTCTCCAAATGCATGGAATGTTATGCAACGTTCGGAATGTTGAAGAGAAGGCACCACTGTCACGCTTGTGGGATTGTAAGTTACCCAGGTTTTGATGAATACAAACAGTTTTGGCACTAGCCAGCTTCTCGGATGACTGTAATTTTATATAGAAGAATGCTGTACATAAATATATGTCATACTTCTCGAGTCAGTGAAATTTGAGCGTGGCTCATAGAATAGAGTTACGATCCGAGCGTTGGTTTATGTGTACATATACTTGTACAGTTATGATGTCATTATTGATGTCATAGTTCTGAAAATACAATGATGCAATGCCTGATCTATACTTGTTCGATCCAGTATTCAGTATCCAGATCAATTTTAATTGTAACCGACAAAGGATACACACATATTGATCAGTGATTATTTTACTGTCCAGGTTATTTGTAGCAAGTGCTCAGATTCGAAAGTGCCATTGCAATATGCAGGAGGAAAAGCTTGCCGAGTTTGCAAACGGTGTAGAACCATTCTTGCGGAAAAACATGCAATTTCAAACAACACGAGCACCTCGGAAGCCACAACTCCGGACGAGTTAGACAGACTGAGAGGTGTTTTAGATGTAAGTCTCCGTTTCCTCCAGTTTAAATATGTACATATCTAATGTATCTAACTAGCGTCAACAATTACTGATAAATTCGGATAATTAACGCAGGTTCCTGGCAATGCCCCCTCGTGTTTAAGTGGACTTTTGCACTTGAGGCTACGAGGAAAGAAAGAGTGGACCCAGAGACTGTTTGCACTTCGGGGAGATTTTGTGCTTTACTGCTACTCCAGTGAATCGGATGAAAGGGTTAGTAAGACTATTTTAGCCCTATTAGATTCCAGTTAATGGGGTTTACATGAAAGTTTAATGGACCTATTATAATTTTCCTATTCTTTTTTGAGCAGGCGATGACTGCCACCCCCATTCCAGGTAATTTTTGCCATTTGTCGACGTTTTGTTCAATCTTCTCACTAACTAAAAATACAAACTTTGTATTTTTCAGGCATGACCGTTATGATGGTGGAGGAACTTCCCAAGGCGGAAATGCCCAACCTTGCAAACAACGAAAAGGACCGGACCTTTCGAATATCGGGTGGCCAAGGGCACAAAACCTACTTCTTTCTCGCTGCCAATCGCGCCATGGCGCTGCAGTGGGTGCAAAAACTAAACTTAGCAGCAAAAGCTGAACTTCAAAATGGTTCTAATAGTGCTATCTCCAGTGCTAATAATAATGCCGACATATCAAAGTAAACGCAGAATACAAATTAGTATAAAATAGTTTACGGCGAAAAGTAATACGCAAATGTTAACTAGCTAATAAACTGACAAGACAGCAATGTACTGAAATAGTTCATATTATAGAATTTGTATTTTTTCGCTTTAAATTAAATATGAATATAGTTTTATAATTCACAATCAGCTTATTAAATTTGTAATTTACTTCATTTTTTCTTGTTACGGTTTCAACAACTATTTAAATTACATTCTTTGATAGGTTATGCAATTTAGTTGTACACTATAAACATAAGTCGAATTTTGTACTCATAATAAACAAAATTAAACAATCACAAACATGCACACACTAAGATTTGATTGGAAATATTAAATATATTAATATTAATATAAAAACTTAGTATTAAACCAATCACCCAATTATTTAAAATCTAATTTTGGACTAAGCATTTTTCTTGATGGACTTTGGTGTCAAGGACGAAGATCTTTCTGGGACTAGAGGTTTTGTTCCTTGCCAGCCACGGGGAACGGTTGGCGGATCCACTTTTTTTGCAGTGCCTTATGTATACCAAATATCACCGAATTTATAAGAGAAATAAAGGTATGAAATGATAAAATATAAATTGAGGAGTATTCTGTATTAGTACCAGTACCAGGTCTGGATTGAACCGTCCTTTCGTGGGACTCGTTGCTCATCCACGATATTTCTCCGAACCCACCGTTATCAGGTACATTTTTGTACCGATCTCTTAAAGCGCGACGGATACTCATGGGTCTGAAACAAAATCGAAATTAAAATTAAAAGTTGTCGAGAGAAAAAACCACCCCGTCATCTCTCTTTTTTCTCTACTCAATTTTCACCCCATTTTCGCCCATACCTGAAGTTAGGATCAGGTGTTTGTAGGGGGGGGCCCCAATGATCCTTAGCTTCATTGTTTTCGTCCATATTTCCCTTCGTAACTGAACGTTTGAAAACGCTGCACCAATTTCCCATTTCCCAATTGCACCAATTCCAAAGATGACTTGTTGACTCTGTGGGAATGGAAGTCGACTGACTGAGGAAGAAGCAGGCCGAAGGTGAGGAAAGTGTGAGGGCAAAGGCAAAGAAAATTGAGAAAAAGCCAGCGGCCGGCGTCTCGGGCCATTGACCTCTCCACCGTTCGCTCACCTACTTCCACGCTGGTCCTCCGACTCAAATTAGTCATCTGACTGGGCATTGGCAATTAATGAAATGACAAATAATGCAATAATATGATGATAATATATACTTAATTTGAAAAATTTAAGCATGAATTGATAAACGAACAAGGCAAAAAATTAAAGTGCTAAAACAATAGTGCGAATTTTATCTAGTGAAAAATGTGCAGAAATATGGTTAGATTAACATTAATTGACTAATGTTAACTGGGTCGCATTAATTAATTAGTTGTATGTATGTAATAAGAATTTGTATAACAGTCTTTTTTTGCGAAATTACTTTTTTTGACATGTTTATTTCAGTTGCTTATACATCAAAACTTATTTATTTCAAACGTCTTTCTTTCTTTCACGTGTGAGATTTCACTATGGTTTGCATTTGCGTATTTATGGCTATTTATCTACCAGAGTAGTTTTTATATTTTATGATACACTGGAGCTTCTCGGTTTAAGTAGATCAAGGTAAAAACTTAATATTCAGTCATACATATAATATATGGACTTATATTCATCCTATATCACACGGACAATATTGCAATTTAATCTTAGTTACTAAATATGATTGTTTACATATAATTTTAAAAGGCTGGGCATGCAAGAAAAAAAACGACTTGATCTATTGGAAGACACGTAATGAATTATTGCATTTTGATAACCCTGTTCTTGGCACGGTTGGAATTGAATCTCAGTTATATGATTTCTTAAAAAAGCTATATTGCTTCTCCTTAACTTCTATTTTTTTAGTACTTTGAGTTTCAAGAGATTGCATGGATGATTTTTACTTGGAGATTCCATTATATCATATCATCAGCTACATGCCAGACTCGGCAATGCCTTCATCATCTAGAGAATTTTCAGTAATTTTAGTTAATTAAGTAAGTCCACAAGTTTAATTTGCGAAATGTAGTTTACGTACCTTCATAGCCTTCATTGGAATGAATTTCCCGTGGAGTGGGGATTTCATTTTCCTTCCCTTCTAGCACTGTTAGTAAACATTGATGAATGCAAATATATTGTTGCTCCGTTTGTACCATCCACACCTGGAATTTACAGTTTAGTTTCATTAAATCAAGAAACACTATTTATATTTTATCAAATAACTCACCCGTTCTCGTCGCATTTGATGCACAATTCCAAAAATATCCACCATATCGGAAACTCGCGTTCTTTGCAGGATTCTATCCAAGGCGATAAATGTCCCAGAACGACCCACGCCCGCACTGCAGTGGACGACGATGGGTCGGACGCGATCCTCGGGCTGAACTCTCTCACGGAATGCGCGAACAAACTTGACCAAAATTTGGGGAGGGTCAGGAACCCCAAAATCGGGCCAAGTTACGAAATGGAAATGCTTAATGAGGCGTGCTTGGTCTCCCTACAATAAATATTTTGGTGATTAAATTTACCCTAGTTTTTTTGTAGCAATTATTTTTATTATACAACTAGTGCATACCCGCTGTAAACGAAACTCTGAGATTATCCAGTCTGGATATCTACTTTCATTCAAAATCTGGACCTGGATGTCTCCATAATATTGTGGCATGGTATCAGAGGGCCAGTACCGATCACATTTTTCTCGACCTGTCCGAAAGCCATGTAAGATAATAGAAGTTAGTATCTCAATTCAGATTGTAACAACTTGGAGCCTCACCTTTCTCGACGCAACGAGTCAACATTACAATCGCTCTTGAATTTGATTCCCAACACATGCGCCAAAAGTCATCTCGAGTTGACGGTAATGCTATGGAAAGGAAAAGATAAGGTAAACATTAAAAAACACTCTATATTAGATGACAGAATATCTGGAGTTTATTTTACTTACTTCCTTGCGTAACAATAAACTCTCGTGGTGAGTTGTTACCCTGCACAAAAATTAGTTCAAATAAAAGATTTAAATTCCTCCTAAACTGAAAATTATGGCAGCTACTAAATATATCATATATATATACATACCGTCACATAGTTGGCATTGATGTAGTCGCTTCCCTCATCATCATCCGTTGGTTGCAACTTAAATCTGGAATGGTCATAGGGAAGAATGTTGGTGAATCGGTTTTTGGGACGATTAACTGGCAGATCTGCAGCAGCACAGACTTGTTCCCGTCCAACACGTTTCAACTCTTCGAATTCTTCAGAAAACCGAAAGTCAGAGTCGGCCGACATGAGGCGATAATGTTCTGCAAAGTCTTTCAACTTTACTGGTCGCCTGATAAAACAACAAAGACGAAAAATTATAACAATTCTTCTTCCGATTATTAGCAATAAATTTTAAACTAGTCGACTACATTGCTCGACTCACTAACTTACGTCGTATCCACGATAGACTCTGAAAGTGATGTCGGCTCATGCTGGATCGGCTTGGGTCGCTTATTACAAAAACGATCCGGTCTGTTGCAGTGTCGTCTCACGTAGATAAAACAGACGACGAAGATGAGGAGGAGGGAGAAAGGGATGGAGAGAGCAAGTATGAGCCAGGCGTTATCTTGGTCCGTGGCCATAACTTTAAATCCAGTATCGCTAAATTTGTCATCATCTGTGAAAGCCCGGATTTTAACGTGATATGTCCTTCCCCCTCGAAGGGGACCATTACAATAGCCTTTCACATCCGTGGAACAGCTCTTGTTTGTCCCAATTTCAAAATCCGATACAGGGTTGCGTTTCGAGAACGGGTTGTAGGGTTCAACAACCTAAAACCAAAGTTCAGCGATTAGGCATTTACAAGTAATGCATTTAAAAAACTTCGTTAGCAAAAAGTTTCCTTAATAAATTGCTTTGTACCATGTAAGCCGGCCAACGACTATATGATTGCACATCCACCCAGCTCCGAGGTTGTTCGGGTTCAGGGTTAGTCTCAAATTCTTTGTCCTCTGCTACAATTATTGTGTATTTCTTAACTTCCCCATTCTTGTTTGAAAAGTAGTTATGACGGAATCGGATCTTGATTGTAGATGAAGTTCTTGACACTTCTTCTGGTGTGACACCTGGATCTGGATATGGGGGAGCACGTATTGGCATCTTCTGTGTGATAAGTTTCGGTTGTCCGGCTCCGATTTTAGTATGCGCCTCTATACCAAAGATGTATGTAACGCCGGGAGAAAGACCAACAATTGTTCCGCGGGATTCACGAGGGGTGAAACGCCGACTGCCGTTGAGAGGATAGTCCTACAGAAACATATCACATTAACTATGCAATATATTAATAAGAACATTAATTCTTACCTTGACGCCGTAGTTTATCACATAGCTGGTCAGGATGCCATTGTGAAAAGCGTCGGATAATGTCCATTCGAACGTGATATTGTTGGGAAGGACTTCGATGGGTTTAAAGTGCTGCACCATCCCTGGTTTGGACTCTTTGGTGGAGAAGACGGCAGACACAGGGTTGGATTTTCGAAGCACGTTGACATCACTTCCACATTGAACTATGACGGTGAATGTGTAGTTTCGGAAGGGTCTGAGCCCCGTTATGGTGATGGAAGGGTGAAGAGTCAAATTGTCAACCAGCCGGTCATCCGCGTTGATGTATTGAACTTCAAATGCGTCATAATCTCCGGTTGGCATATCCCATTCTAATGTGATTTCCCTATCGCTGATGTACGTCGCATTTATTTTTGTGATGGACTCGGGATCTGCAGGTGTAGCAATCAATATTAGCACATACGAACCAGGTACACAGGACAGCGAAATTTAACACTATACTCACATAATCGATCATGTCTTAACAACGGACGGCTCGTTACATCTTTGGAAACGGTCCAGATAGTAAAATTATAGAGTCTTCCAGGAACGAGACCGTCGAATGTTACTTTTCTGTCGGTTTCGTTAGCCAATTTCTCTTTGGGTGGGATGGAAGGGTCAGACAATTGGAATCGATAACGATCGAAAAGTGAGATTGAAGGTGGAGTTGCCGTGAATCTTAAAGTCACCTCCGACTTCATATTGATATTATTAACTATGTAAACCTCCGAGGTGATAAGTGGCACTGAAACGACAAGTACGTTAATCATTTAATAGTTAAGTTAGAAGATTGGTTTTAATTTTGTAAAATACAATAGGAATATAAGCTCACAAGTCCGTATCGTAGTGTTATAGTCATCTCCTTTCATCCCGTAAGAAATGGTGTCAACGTTGATGGTATAAGCAACTCCAGACATTAGTGGAAAAATTGGAATTTTGACGATTTCTTCCCAAACATCCTGCGTCACCACCTTTTCGCCACGAAGCAGTTCAGATTTTCCAAAGTCAGTTTCATTCTCGCCCTCTTCTTCGTCCGACTCGATTGGAATTCTGTCAATGGCCGTCCACTTTATGTTGTAAGATTCTATTCGACCTGTGGGACGATTCCAACTGAGGGTGATATTGTTAGCGTCAATGTCTTGTTTTACATTTTGAACTCCACCAGGACCTATCAGGATAAAATTAATAATTAAAAAGTGATTAAAATCAGTATTGGATATACGTATGAAAATGTATGAAATATAGGAATTAAACTTTGCTGTACTTACGGACAGTCTGGATAATTTGTTGAGGGTTGGACGGTTCTGCTCGATAGCTGACAGTGTTAACGCGGACAATGTATTTTTCTCCCGGTAGAAGATTTGTGACTTCCTTCTCAACTAAATTATTTGGCAGGGAAATTTCTGACCAGGTGTCGTTATCATTGGTCCTGTAGCGGAGAATATAACCAGAGTAGAGAGAATTTACAGGAGGTAACCAACGTATAGAAATGGACGAATTTGATACACGAACGGCAGTAAGATTCCTTGGAGGATTTGGAACTATATTTTGAAAGAAATAATATAAAATAATTTAACAAATGTATTCACAACTAATTGCAAGTAACAGAAACCAGCGATCTTTTAACCGCAAATATCAATACTTACAAACTGTTTGAAAGTAGTCGTGTCGTTCAGAGAGCAGTCCGTGAGAGACGGCGAAAAGTTGAATGTTGTAAGCAGCACCAGGATACAAGTCACTTACCACAATTTGGCCTTCGACGGTGGTAGCGTTGAAAATTTCACCAGTATCATTCCTCTTGTAAATTACCAAATACATCTCTTGCTTCGAAGTCACGTCCGATTTCCAAGATATCGTCAACCCACGATCAACCGCAGTGATGTTTTCCACAATTGGAGAAGAGGGACCTGGAATTTTTAACAAAATCTTTAGCATTTCACCCGTATTTACTTTCAAAATTAATAAACCGTTGTAGCGGTAGAAGTAGCTCGCCCTGTCATACTTAAATGACAGACTAAACAATAAGAATAAAAAATAAGTTGGTACATAATTTTGATAATCTTACAAGGGACACTCATGACCTGTCGTTTGAGTCCAGGGTACCCACTATGTTATTTTGAATCTACTAGGACCCCAGATGAAGGATTCATTCATATTTCCGTGTAAAACTCATATTTGGCGCCATGGCGTGGCGCCAAACTTAGAAATTTGCATTTTCGACCAATTTCAAACCCTCATAACTTTTGTAGTTTATGTCGGATTTTCAAAATTTTATGCTTAAAATGACCACAAAAGTCAAAATTTTTGAGAAAAAAATAAAAATAAAAAATTTCTAATTTTTGAGATATTTTTAGCATTTTTTCGACGAACCCCCATTTCTAAGAAAATTACGAAATTTTTCGAAAAGTTAAAAGCGATAATTTTGGAAAAAATTTCATGGAATACGAAAGTTTAACTCCTTGTCATGATTTTTGCCAAAAGTTTTTAAAATCCGTCCAGGATTTCAAAAGTTCTGGCGGTTTCAAAAATAAAAACATTCAAATTTGGCGAATTTGGCGCAACGGCATGACGCCAAATATGAGTTTTACACGGAAATATGAATGAATCCTTCATCTGGGGTCCTAGCAGATTCTAAAAAACATAGTGGCCACCCTGGACTCAAACGACAGGTCATGAGTGTCCCTTGTTAGTCAATATGTGCATATACATACATGGGAGCAAAAAAAATATCATGGAGAAACATTCTAAAACTTATGTACTGTAACTATGATCACGTTATTCACCAGATCAAACAAACATTGAAATAGATGAAAAAGTCTTGGTCCGAATTTATCAAAATTTATCAGAATTTATCCTGCAAGTAATTTGAAGTTAAATGTACGTATGACGATCACCAATCGTACCGAAGAAGCGAATAAACTAGATATATTAGAAACAATTGCACTATTGGTGCAGCAGAAATGAGGAAAATTGATACAGAATATTGACACTTTTTCGAGGTTCACTGATTGCAAAATGGGATGTAAATTACTACGGGATAATATGCCCCACTGATGCGGGTTGCACCTATTCCCCCAATTATTTCGCACCATTTTTCGGGACTGATTGCTTGACAGCAATGGTGCTACTAATTTCGTAAAAAACGGACACGGGCCTATTTAATTAGCATCAATTGATGCAAAAAACTCATTAACAGACAGACGGACAGACAGACAGACAGACAGACAGACGGACAAGAGGAATTCAATAGCTCTCATGCTACGCAGGGCGAGCTAATAACGCAATCGTGTATCCTTACGAGTAGCTTGGAAAACGGTCACTTCTTCCGACTCCATGCCATTCGACACAGCTTGGATGCTAATGGAATAATTTCTCCCAGGAAATAAACTGGACATGAGAAATCTTGGCTCCTCGACCAACACAGAGTTTACATCTCCACCAAACGCTTCTGCTTCTTGACTCGTAATCTAAACCCGAATTAATAAGTATTAGCCATGATATATATTTTAAGTAATTACGTAAATCGATTAATTAATTAGTAATACAATTGTTACCCGATAATGATCTTGTTTAGATGTGGAATCTGGCATCCATTCGATCAAAATATCACCAGTCACGGGGTCCGTAGTATTGACGACACCTTGCACAGGAAGAGGTCTCGTTGTCACGTTGGCACTCGTCGTCCACGATGGAACTTTGTCTGAGAACGTTTTAACATTTATGGAATAGGTATGTCCCGGTTCTAGATTTTTATCAAATGTTGCCACCGTTGGAGCATCTTTCAGTATTGTTAAAGGTGTTTGATTCTTCAAACCACCCTTCTGCACTTGGTAGCGGTCGAATTCACTGCAGGAAACGATAATTCAATAATATTAGCAACTTGTTCCACAATTTTGGTTGGTCAATAAGAAAAAAACAAGGTATTTACCTGTATCCAGTGGGGGGAAGCCATGCAACTTGAAAACTGTACGGAGTAATGAGGTCCAAGTCGAACGTTATGTTGCCCGGTCTTAGCGGAACAGTACGATACTGTGCTGTCGTAGGCTGCGATATCTGATCCTCACTCACAGTCTCCACTGAAATATTGTAAGCCCGACCTGGAATTAAGTTGTTGAACGCCGCTTGCGCCGGGCCTGGTGGATCGCCTTCCTTTGGGACGTACAGCACGCTTTCTACTGCATCGAGCGGGTCAATTTGTACCTTATATCCGGAAAACACGCCTGGAGGATAAGGAGGCTGCCACAAGACGAGAAGCGTCGTTTCATTTCGATACCACACGATGAAGCGTCCTGGCGTGTTGGGCTCTGGATAAATATAGTTTCACGCCGTTAAAAATACTATATTCTTTATATACATAACCACTCTCGATGGTAGTTTGATAAATGTCTCACTTGTTGTAAAGTTGCCCGAGATGTAAGCAGTCGACTCTTTGTTCTCGAACATTGTGAACAACTGGATTTCATATGAAGCCCCTAAGATAATCGTGAAGAGGATACATATCAATTATGAATGTAATTTGATCAAATAAACTTTTTTAATGACAGTTTAACTTTTTCTCTAGTAGCTCCCTAATCACAAGGGCTTACCTGCGACTAAGTCTCGCAGAATTACGGGAGGTTTCTCCTCAATGAAATTTCTTGGCTGAGCAATCTCTCTGTCCGAGAGGGGAATCAGTCTCAACTTGAATTTACTGTAGCCACCCACGGATGGAGGGTCCCATGTCAAATGTACATGCTTATTCGGCCGAACGTTGATTGATAAATTGGCTGGTGGATCCGGAGCTAAATTGTAAAAATAAGACAAACGCGTTAATGTTGTGCTTGAGATATGATAAGAAAAAGTAATGAACGAATTAAGAGCGTAATCAGCGGAAAATAAGGTTTTTAATTTCATTTCATTAATTTCATAAAACTTCACCTCGAAGAAAATTTAATATGTCGCAAATAATTAACCTTGTGAGTGGAAAGTTGGCACAAAATCAACAACCTATTTCACAGGTACTTACTTGTCGTAATGGATGCCGTCCAGGTCAGCCAGTCATTTATGGTGTTGTTGGTGTAGTGGAGTCGAAAATGGTACTTTGTGCCAGGAAGACCTTGCGTGAAGCTTATCGCGTTAGAAATCTGGTCAGCTTTGAAGGTTTTATTCGGTGCTGGGAAACCTATCGGAGGATTGTAATCTAATCTGTAGACTCCTTCAAGGTCTTGATACTCGGAGACGGGAATTTGTATTGCCAAATCTGCTCCGTCGCAAACCTGTTGCCACAAACAAAGAAAGTAAATTAAGTTTATTACCCAAATTTTGACAAAAATCTAGAAAACCTTTACGCTTTTATTGTCGTTAGTATAAAAAAGCTCGTCCAAAATCATCAAGACAGTATGCATGGAAATGAATAGAATAACATGGCCAATTAATTAATTTTTTGGCACTATCATAAAAACATTCCCTTCATACAAAGTAGACTTGAAATATGGGGTGCACAAAACAAACGAGTATGGATACCTATCTAGCATGACACAATATTAAACTGTATCGGTTTCTAATTACCTTGGCTAATTTGCATATTGAGTGTGAGTGGCCTTATTTTTTTATTCTGATCGCGATCAGAAATTACGAAAGTCAAGTATCACATCTGTATGCATGGGTGGTCTTAATTAAATATGTGCCCATGAAATTAGTATGATCATTGATGACTTATTGTGGAACACTAAACAAAGAAAAGTGATGCATTGACTAATTTAACCAAACGACTTGAATCCAATCAAAGTTATATGTATGCTCATTTTGGAACCAAACTCTGCAGAGCTTGTACCTATTTCATGAGAAGGTCGACAATGCGAGAGAAATTGTTAATGTGTCCATCCATTTATGATTTTGATTTTAAAGTTGGTTAAAATTGAATTTGTCAGTTAACTGAATTATTTTACATATGTAGTTTTACAACTATTTTTAGAGAAATAAAATTTTTAGAATTCCATGTTCGTACAAAGTAGATAACTTTTCTAATTTGTAATCCCAATTTTACAACCGAACACGGAATGTCAAACTAAATTGGCCAGCTCATGTTTCAAGCTACTGAATCTGACAAAGTGAAAATTCATAACTCACATTCTCAATTAACTCTGCCCATTTGTCCCTGTTTACATCATGCATGTCTCTACTTCCAATAAATTGAAACGTTTAATCCCACAACTTACTTATAAAGATCAATGTGTGTAGACTTTAGAAATTAGCACCATCAAATTTTATTTTTATATTGCCCTAACCTACACATTCCCTCAACTTTGCGTATAATCCACCTGCACCGATCTGCACGAAGCATTACATTCACCAGTCATTCAGTCGCAGACGGACAGAGGATAACCTGGCTGGGCAATTGTTTTGTTAACTTAGTGAACTCATGAATGCATGCGCATTTTAAAGTGCTAGCATGAAATATAATCAAATCAAATTAAGCATTCCGTTGGTCAAATAGCAGTAAACGTAGTGCATCGATCCTACATATATACACTACATTTTTCAAAAAATCATGCTGGGTTTCTTATAAACCAACCCGACTCTTCTTCTTATCCGACATGATATGAGTCCAACAAGATGGGTAACAGGTTTTTCTAAATGGGTGGACAAATATGGAATAGAAGTTCTACGGCAAATTAGGATGCAATGATGATATGGTGACTGACTGACTACTACTATGAACCAAAGGTTAACTGGGTAACATTATTTTACGAGGGCCATAAGGAACATCGCCTTATTTGCATTCATTTACACTTTATGTATACTTTGTCACCACCAAAAAAATTGGATTATCATTGGAACCTATCATATAACACACTTTCTTGAATTATGTCAGTAATGGCAAACACTTAATTTTTTTTATTCAATTGCTCCTACATAACTGTTGTTGAAATTAGTGTTATGAGAACAAATAAAACAATATAAGTGTCATCAATTGCAATGGAGATTCCCATCCCAGGAACAACGCGAGATAATTTTCCACACTCGTTATTTCAAAATCACTTCATGGGAATCTATGCAACTGCCGAGCTACATATTAAACCTTATCATTATCGCCAATAAACAAAGCCACAACTTTGAGGATGAACAAAGGAAAGATTTGAAATCATTTTTATACTTGGATCCTCTTTAGATCTTCAGATACCGCGAAATGTCAAAAAAATCTTAAGATACGTTCACACTAAAGGAGCCATCTAACTCATCCTCAGCATGTATGCATACCTTGAGAAACGAGATGTTGATATTCAACATTCTACTTTGAGAGATGGAACCAAATAATTTTCAGCAACAACAGGAAACCGCAGGAGCAATAAGATTGTGAGCTCATTTCCACTATAATCTGTAAATATAGACGACGTATGTATCTCTACTTTTATAATTTTATGCTTCATACGTGGCTACCTTGCTTTGTCGAATAACTTATTGACATTTTTAAAATGAGATCAAATTTTAATTTTTATCCATTATCAAGTATTTAGCAGTAAGTGGATTCGTGAAATCAGCATTATTTTTCATCTTTATTGCACTCTACACGTATCTTTGGGAAAGTAAAGTACTACATGAGACGACATCAATAAATAAATTGCACCTGTACAACACTTTGTCCCACATTTCTGAAGCCATTATTCCCAAAAAAAACATATTTCACTGAATTTATATGCATACTCAAGTGCAAGCGACATGCTGGTATCCATTCAGTTCCATGACATGATTTCCCTTGTAAAAATATGTAACATAACCATTTATGTTAATTATAACTCCGAGTCCCAGTCCAGAATTAATTTGGTTTTAATCAAATTCAATTTGGCACGTGTATACTGCTCCACTCCAAAAATGCACCAAACAATGCAATCTCGTGGGAGAATCGAGTGAATTGCAGTATCAAAAAGTAAACAAGTCATTTATTACCGGTGATGGTTGCATATCCTACATATTTTTAACGCGATTCTATGAATGGACTGGTACTAAAAGAACAAAAGAAGAAACTATGACTGACTGACTAGCAGTTTGTACAACTTATTCCCAGGGACGTCAAAAGGAGGTCGCAGCCAGCTTTATCTGGCTAGTGACAAAATGTGCCATGATCTTGTGCATAGCATAGTATGCACATTGCTAATTCTGTTAATCCATTCATTAAATTTTATGTCAGCGTTATTAATACCGGTCGCATTCTTTAAAAAAAACAGTCAACTTGAACACTCACGGCATGAATATTAATGAAATTGGGAGGATATGAGGTCATTTCTTGTTACAAGTGCTTATTTAATATTATCAATTACCTCACCTTTTCTGAGTTTCATAAAAACTTCGATTGTTCAAGATTGACATTAAATAAATTCGGAGAAAAAAAAACTGTTCACGTTTACCTTGATAAATAGGTATAAAATCAACTTAATTTATAAAACGGAATAAATTAAATCTTGTCCTGGTTTATGGCAATATAAACCAATGGAAATGGTTCAATTACTCCAAAACTAGATCAACCCTGATTAATTATTTCATATTTATTTGTCGCAACAGAAACAGAATTTAATGTCTTGCCATAAAACGTCTGTCGCTATTATTATTACCATTATTCGAAGGATTTTAAGCTCTTCCAACCACGATGTGCAAAACCAAGAGTAGAATTCTCGGAAGACATGCTTGTTGTAGGTAAAAAGCTATTATTTCTTATTATTTCCTTTCAAAAAGCCGATTGCTTCATAGTGCCAGTTCCCTTTCACGCTTGGAATTTGGTGTTACTACCAGTGCAAAAATTACAATTGGATTTAAATGGGGTACATAAAATGCATACAAATCAAGTGACAAGAAGAGATATAACTGTGCTCGCAGATCTAACTGTAAAAAAACTTGGTTCGTTTTGCAAAACAACCCGGACATAAATAGAATAATGCAAATGAATGCTGGCAGGCTTATTATTTATTATTATGCTTGTGCAGGGTGTTACTAAACTGTATCATTGATTGATTCCCATTAGATAAATATTATATCACGAATTTTGTCAACAAATTAAGCATGAATGGGCATTGTGGCTCTGAATAATGCCAAGTGACCAGTGATGACTACTTAACATAGAGGCAGTTCATTGCAGTCTTTCTGATACTGAACACAAAAGTCTCTCCATTTAATTCATGCATTTGCTACGACATACATATTTTAAGAAGAAAAAAACGAAGCTTTTCCCTGTATCTCACCTGATTGAAAGCCGACAATGTGAGTAAAGATGTCACACAAAGGCAGGCGAAGGTAAAAGGAAAGGAACTTGTGGGTGTTGTGAATAGTTTCGAAATTCCGTATGGTGCCCCCTTCAAGCGGACCTTTCTCCGATTGAAGGGCACTTTTTGGTGAAAACTGTTTCGCACAAATTGAGAACTTTCTCCACTAATTTCCGAGTAGCAGGAGTGAGTCGTCTCATTTTCCTCTCCGGAGTCTGCTCCCTCTTCCTCCTCCATCCCCACCAAACGTGACTGCGAGTCCTCGTCGAACAAGGTGATCATTATTTCCTCACTTAAAAATTGATCCTTGATAAAATAGAAACTACACTTAATGAGTACACAAGTAGCTGATCCATCAGACGTATGAAATTTTTGTACTTTTTTCCTCAATTTGTGGTATCTTGAATTATATTGTCAGGTGGTAGGAACGAAGGAAATCACGTTGACCAAAGTGTCATCGTCCATTTTTTGTCTTGATGAATGGTGCTTAATTTTGTAGTTACTTATTTAGTTTGTTATTTATTTATAGTGTCACGAATTCCGTAGTTATATTGCATTATAATTATTATTTTGAAACTTACACCATTCACTTTCCACCTTTTCCGATTGACTGTTTTGGCCATTCACTATTTTGGTATGAGTTATTTATTTCACATCTCTGGGTGGATTTTCACTCGTTTTCGTTGCCTAGACTACGATTAATTTCTTTGTGTAATGATGGAGCACTTGAGCAATTGTGACACTTGTTTAATTGAAGTTATCTTTCACAATACACTTTCGATTAGAATTCAACTCTTGCGAAACTCCAAGGTGAGATTCGCTACATTTTTTGGTTTGTTTTAACCCGTTTAGTGGATTTCCAGGAAAAGTGGAAATTTTGTACAAAATCTTGCTCCAATAATAATTTGTCCATCCGGCCATGTAACGTCAGGTTGTCTCTGAAACAATAAACTTTTAAATATATTTTGATTGTTTACAAGGCTCAAGTTTAAACTAAATAAATGAGACCAAGTCCATGATTAAATTATTTGTAACCTCATGGTTTTAGAAAGGAAACAGATTTGAAAGCAGTGTAAACTGTTACTGCCTTTGCAGTAGTACTTAAATTGTATTAGTTGGTACACATATTGTTTGTAAATCAGCAGTAGCAACGTCCTAAAAATTTCAATCATGTATGAGCTTCGAATCTTCCAACTTTAGTAACAAACCACCAGAAATACATTGTGCAAGAGATACTCTGCTACTCTCTCTCACATCATAAATACCATCGTGTATGTATGTATGTAACTAATGACTAATCTTTCAGTTTTCATCAACAAAATGAAAATCAAATAATACAATTTACTTAGTCGAGATGTGTGCATGGTTTAAGTAAATTGTACAGATAACATGTTGATATTCAAATTTGATACAAAGGGTTAACCTTAAAAAATGAACTTACTTCTAATCCCCAAAATCACCCCATTCTCGAACCAGACACGAAATTGAATGCAAAAATATGTAAATTGAAACAAACTCTTTTTGATAGGACTCACCCCTCTCTCTTAATTTTAGTGAAGGCTTCCACCAAGTGACGTATCCCTGTGTCCTGCAAATTGTTGGTGGTGCTGGTGGTTGGTTGGTGAATGTGAATAGTTATAAATGGAGCCAATAATTGACCATTTTTCTTAAAGGTCCCTTCCTCCACACTCCTGCACTCTCTCTCTTAACAAATAATAACAAGTAGTCGTCTCGACTACTCCTGGGAGAACGATACACGACGACGATGATGATATTAAAAATATAATTTGGGAAGGTAAGTATTGGAGGAAGTGGTCCTATTCACTCACTCAAGCTCACCAACACTCACCTTACCATTGGACTGCGAGGTTGATGTGTTTCTGTGATTTCTTCAACAATGAAACGAAACTGGCGATGATGGTGATGGTGGTGGAACAGTAATGAGAGAATAGGCCGTCCTATGCCTGCACACAATAATGCAACGCCGTGGAGTCATAATAATGCTCTCTGCCTGCATCCATGCATACAAACATAAGCCTTCCCATAAGCGAGGAGGAGAAGTTACAGGTATTGGTCTCTTTTCGTTAGAGTTGTAGTTTCATTTCAGGTGAACAAGCAAAGCAGGTAAGAGTTTGATGAGGATGATGGCTACAAAAAGTGGTTGTTTCGTAGTATCATCAGCGTCATATTCCTCGTCGTCGTCGTCGACGTTAAGCCCTCTGCAACAAGAAAGCAATGCAATGCAGGCAACAGCATGGGATTTCCCTGCCTGGGTTCGTTTAATAAAATTCGTCTCTCTCTCTCCTGTTGCACACAATGCAAGGCAATGATGAAGCAACAGGTCTCCTTCAAGTCGGGGATGAAAATGATCATGGATCGATGATGCATGGATTTAAATACCACACTGGGCTTTGTCTTCTTCCAATATCTACCTACTTATTTTCCTTTAAATCACACTGTGTCAATTGTGTCCAGAATGTCATGCGATATGTTTTACATGAAAATGGCAAGCATGTTATTTGGGTTTGGGGACATTTTAGAGATTTCTGTAACAAACTGTCAACCCGACCATGTCGGATGGGATGAGTTTTTGCTGATTTGGTGCGTTAACACAATGAATAGTTTTGAAATAATTCGTATTTATGTGCCTACAACACTGATCCATGGTTTAATTTGTACATACTTACCAAGCTGGTACTTTAAGTAGTAGTAGTAGTCGTAGTAGTAGTAGTAACTACTTAGTATGTAGCCGTGGAAGAAAAGTGATCAACCACTACTACGTAACATCCTAACGTAAAAAAGCTGGCTCACTGTTTTATCCTCCATCACCTTTCCTCCCATTATAAAAGACGTGAAAGGATCAGAAAAAACATGAGATTCGAGATGAAGAAGAAGAGGACTCGCTGTCCTGTCCGACGAACTCGAACCTTGTTTTACCTTTCCTTCTTCTTCTTCAAAGGGTGTTGTTCCAGAGAGACGACGACGATGTTTCAACAAGATGCGTTTTTATACATCCTTCTTGCTCACCGTGAGACAAAACCAAGCCAAATGTGCTCTAAGGCTGTCCATGCAAACCATGTCGTAATAATAATCATCATAATGCTAGAAATAATAATAATAACAATAATGGAACCTTGTGAGGGACGGATATATGAAAAACGAAATCCTAAATATTTTTTCCACCTACGTCATCATAATAAGCCACGTACATACATGATCATCCGCCATCATCGTTGCTAAAAAAAACAGCAATTTAACTTAAAGCTCGATATTACAATGTGTAGTTATTACACGCTACCAATAACGAGCTAAAGGTCAGTCTTTTAGAGAGAGAGAGAGAATATAACATTACGTAAAAAGAGTTGGAGGCAACATAGCCGAATAGATCCAAATCGTCCCACCTCAGCAGTTGCATGAGTTGCAGTTAACAATGATGCATGAAATACTGCACTAACATGACTGTCCTGTATTCATTCTGTTTCATGTTTTTCAAGTTATTATACTACGCTACGTTTTGTTCTGCTACATCGACCTTAACCACTAATACTACTAATACTGCTAGCTAGCAGACCTGCAGCAACAGGGCTGGGTTTTTTTCTGATGGTCGGTATCAAATCAAACAAAATCAGAATTAGACAGAACAACAGATGAAGAGCTACAGGCAGAATATAACGCTGCATGAAACCACCAATATCTAGCTCCTCGTTCGTATATGCATCCGAATTTTGACTCTTTTCTACCTTATTATATTTTCCACAATAATGCGAGAATGAGCCATGAACTGACTAAACTAATCCTAAGTAAGCTGTAATAGTTCAACTGTGTCACGTACATACTTACGTGCATACCGTCGAAAATGTGAGGCGTTGCTTTCTGGCGAGAGATAGATGCAGCAAGCATAATTCACATGATGATCATAAGGTCTAATAAATAATCCTGGCTGTAAAACTTGACAAAAATGCTGTTGGGTGAAACATTTTATTTGAATTACGTGGTGGAGGAGGTTTGAATTATTGCGAGATTGCTGTACTAACGACTTTTTTTGCAATGTTTTATTCCTTTACTACTCTGAGTGATTGTCAATTATGGGGTTTAAGCAGAGGGGAGCCCAGAATGGAGTAATAAAAATAATGACAATTGACAATTTAATCATTTGGCTTTCAATGTTAATCGAAGTAGCAGCAATGGACTCAAACATACATACGTAAAGAATTATCTAATACATCTAACATTATGCATACATGCGTTTACAATTGAATGCTTCAATTGCAAAAATCCTTGTAAATAATGTTTCGTGATTCCGAAATAAACTTACTTCTTTGCAACAAAGACAGCTAGGTTTTTATGGTTGATCGAGTTAAAATGAGTGTGATTGAAGGGAAATGTGACAAATGATGCAAAAAAGTTAAGAATTTTTTAGATCTATTTTTTAAGTTCATCATTCACAATGAGATTTATTTATTACTTATTGGATTACGATTAAAATGGAAGGGTAGGATTGGAAAGTTAAAATTTTAGAAATTGAGACTCATTAAGAAATTTGGGAACATAATTTAGGAAGTAACTGTGTTTTAGATAAACCACCTGTTGTAACTTGGCTTTGTAACCACTATATAAAATACTTTGACCTTCAATCTAATACCCTCTATATCCTTGGCAGACACATAATACAAATGTGTAACAATGACTGTAAACCTATAGTTTTCGAACCCCACGAGAAGTTAAATAACTCTGATGTTACAATTTGAATCGAATTTTGACTATGGCGATACATTGATTAGACATGTAAGCAGGTAGGAAAAAAGGTCTTAAAAATACGACAACTGTTATTAAACTCCTTTTTCAAATTTAAAATTTCATGCAAACTGCACTTGTAAATTCGGATTTCACCAAATAATGCCATTCAATCTCATAAAATCAGTATGTTCATACACACATCGCAACATCACACTCTCTACACGGGTGACAGGATGATTTTGTGTGCAGTTTTTAATTATGAATAATAATTATGCACCAGGCCTGCATATGTGGTTTGATTTACAACCTTGCGATTTAAATTTTTATGATGAAACAACACCTGCATTTTTTCCTTATCCGTTGCCAACCTGCTACCATCACTTCCTTGCCAGTATTTGAGAGACTTTAAAACAATGCATCATTAAACTAAGAGAGTTTTGCATGGTTTGGTTATGCTTTGGTTTCTACATACAACACGGACGCACACACTTCATAAAAATGTGATCACTATCAAATCAGCAAGATGACTGGCATGCATAATTTTCAATTGTTAATTAATCCATATTAGCCAAGAATAAGAAGAAAGATCGAGTTAATGCTCTCTCAAGTTCATTACTACATGGAGTTAAATTGAGGAACGAACGAATCATACATTTGTACGTGGAGTAATTTGAGGGGCTTGAATTATACTTACTTTGGGATTATTGTAGCGAGTCCTCGGTATTTAAATGGATATAATTTGTATCAAATGCAACGAACGCAACTTTTGCCAACAGTTTACATTTATTATTTGTTTAATTTGATATGCTTCGCGATCACGATTAAAATTATTAAGTACGAGTGCTGCATCGTGGCTTGTTGTAAATACTTTACTCGTAGAATTTAAATCTACATTTTCAATTTTTTGATCATAATCTCGATGCAAATTTCAAATTGAAATTGCAAAGCGAATCAGATGCAAAAATTATTAGTCGAGGTGATTGAATTTAGCTATATGTATTTATGCGAATGTGATGTCCGATGATTTTATAGGGTGCATACAAATTAATAATTAATTTATAATCCTTCCTGGCCTTCTTAATCGCAACTTTTACTATGATTAGTTTTGCAGTTCTTCTCGCTTTCGTTAAGAATAAAAAGAACAGAAGTGAAGTCAATAAGTCTCAAAAATGTTGATATCAGGTTTTATATATTTTTTCGCTAATTGTTAGGGCTGCGATTAAAGCACGAATTTTACAGTTTGTGTGAAAAGTTTATAGCACAATAATTTAGCTCAGAATGAGTTTGGTTGTTCACGTACGAAATTAAATTTACGAGTCATTTAGAATATTGGGGTGGTTTAGCAAAGTTCTGCCAGCAGGGACCGTAATGGTATGTGGGGCTGTAATTGGTTGAGGCAGGTTCCCGTAGAAAAGCAAAACCGGACGCCCAAAATCTCCGCTTCCAGGAGGAGGTGGTGGTGGCTCCGGAATGAACGGCCTGGGCTCTTCCATCATTTGTGCCATTGGTCTGAAGAAATTTTAACAATGTCAAATAGTATCATTTCATATTACAATTATATTACAATGTTAATGTCGCAATTGAAAACTTACGGCGTGGCTGATGCGACGGGCGGCGCAGGTACAAAGAGTCGCGGACCAGGTAGGTCGGATGGTGGATTGATGTAATAACCACCTGCCGAATTGGAAGGAGTTCCATTCATGGGAAAGGCGACTCTTTCGTTTAATCTGCTCCGTTGCCCAGACGGTCGAGTATTTGCATCTACAGAGAACATCGGAGGGTCATTCCACGCTCGGTCGTGGTTACCTACATAAAACAATATATATATATATATATATATATATATATATGCAGGTTAACGATGATGATGTTAATGTAATCTTATTTAGCTTGTACCTGGACCGATTGGTCTGAGTCGGTTTTCCTCAATAGGCCTATGCGATGGGGACGAGGGGCGAGGGGGACGAGGGGCATTCAGTGGTGGGGGCCCTCCCAACCGAAGTAGAAAGCTTGTATTGTTGTTCGGTCTAATTGTAGTGGGATCAATGAAACTTGGCACCATAACCCTTGGCGCTACGCTCACCCCCGCGTTTTCAGACTCGTTAAGGCGAGCGCCCCCCGCAGCACCGAGGGCGGACTCCGACGAATGAGCTTGACTATGATTCTCCGACATTCCCGTGACCAATAGGAGAGACTATTTAAAAATTTTACTATGTTACAGCGTTGTCCTACTTCCGCCAAATGAGCGATACGTCACCGAGTCTCTGCCCTATATATCAAATAACAACAAATCTATCAATTAACCACGTCTTTAACCCCTCATAAATCCTTGACTTGATTTAAATTAATTCGAAAATCAAAAGTTCATTCCCCTCACCTCTCCTGACTGACGAACTGTGAAAGCAAACCACGATGGATAAACCAAAAATTTACACTCAACGATGATATCGTAGGTCAAGGTAAGACACGTAGCTGAAAATTTGAAGGGGGAAGACACGTAACTGGAAATTTTGAGGGGGGAGACCAAATCGGGGGACGGAAAATAATTCAAAGGAGAGCACAAAAAAAAGTGACCCGTTCGCTAGAAGAGCTGATGATCGTGTGAAGGTTTCCTCTCTCAGCCGGTTGGAAGTGATGGTGGTGGTTGTTTGGGGCAACTGAGACTTTTTCTGCCAGGTCAGCACTCCAGCTCATGAGCATTGAAAGTGAACTCTTATGATTTTTCAACGATAACTTTATTTATCATAATTTATTTTTGACATCGAGTTTGATACGCAAACTAATTCACAACGCATACATGAGCCAATGAATTTTCATTAAATCTTAATAGTACTATAATATAAGATAAATACCATATTAATAACAAAATTGCAATTACAACTGTCAGTCCACTTGTACAACATATATAGATGATGGTATAGTATAATACATCTAATTCTATGAGTGATATACATAATAATATATATGAGCCAACTTATAGTTCTATTAGTATTTATACACAAGCACCAAATAGTTATTGTGGTTATTCTTGAGTTTCGTAGGGACAGCTTCATTATGAATTATGGTAACAATAAATATGTATATAGAATAGGAATTAACTAATTATGCACCAACAATAGGACGAAATATAGCATTTGTTGTCGGAGAAGAAAGTGATAAACTAGTCAGTTAAAAAATTCTCAGAAAAAGAATGCTTTACAGACCAAAAGTCATCACAATTGTATTGGCCGTTCATTAGCTAATATTACCCGAAACAATTTCTTAATGATAATTTAACTATAACTAATTAGGTACATTATATTCTAACCTACTAATTACTGAAACTGGAAAGTCATGACAAGACAGACAAACTCGCTGCACAAAAGGGAATGCATCTTTTATATAATTTCAGCTACCACTGATTGAGAAGGAAGACGATCTAAGATAATTAATCGTGAATTATACGCGTTAATATTATATTGTTATGGCGCACAGTCAATGGGTGACACTGTAACAGCACGATCCCCACATGCTCCCAATTCGTCAAAGTCATCAAACTCTGCGGATCTTCCTATTTCAAGTTTCATTGCCAACATTCCGGCCAAAATGCCATTCACTTCCATTCTATTCCAAACAGAACCTGAAACATAATTTAATTAACATTCACAAATGGGTATCACAATTCGTAAAGATATGATGGACTTACCCATGATGACGCCAAAGACTAGTACAAGAAGTGTTAGGATGCGGAGGATTGGCAAAAGTACCCACCAATTTCCTGTTGTGTCGAAGGATCCCAAAGCCAATAAGCAACAAAGGCAGACAAGGGATATAACAAAGTACATTTTCTTGCTGAATTGCAAGTGCTCCATTGCAGCAGAGCAGATATTAATGGATTCAAGTATCACTTCTTTCTTAGCATCATTTTGACCTTCAGGGACGTCTATCTTGTCAACTGCAAATACAATTTTGAAATTTACATAGTAAGCAGAGGAGAAACTTTAATTATTAGACAATACCTGATGTCGATTTCGTAATTCTTAGTTTTGCAACCACTGCCTCGTGATCGGAATAACTGAACGATTCATTCGGAACACGATTTGGCCAGGGAACTTCGGAAGATATGGTCTTTACACTGACTCCATATTTGCTTTTAAAACAAATGTAGTCAATCCTCTTCCCAAAGGGATTTGTTTTCAATTGTGCAGAAGATGAATAGCTGTTACTCGGTATTTCGTTCGTGTTTAGTGATTCCGCCTGAATAGAAAATATTTTATAAAATTTGAGGAAATACATGTTGCTTTCCAAGTAAAAAAAAAAACTCACCAGAGAAGGTTTCTCCACATCACAAATGGAATCCTTGAGCTCTGCTGTATGAATTATAACTTTATAAGCCAGATCCCCAGGTTCCGTATTCAAGTCACCACCCACAATCACGGCGTCTGCATGCTTCGAGGTCATCTTAATGAATTGAGCCGTGTCAAAGGCTTGAATCACACGATGAGCAAGGTATTCGTCATTAACTCGGTCATATTCAGCATGAAGCTATATTTATAATTGATTTAAAATGCATAATTAAGTGGGACATTTGTCAATTTTAAATTTTCAAATAAAAAACTTACATGAGCTGTGTACAAATTAATCGTGAGACCGTTGTGTACAACTTCTACCATTCCAATTCCTTTACCCCCGAACCAATCTCCGTGTTGAACCTAAACAATATAAAGGAGGTTATCAAGATTCGAGTCACACATAAACCATAATTAATATATTATATACCTTATGAATATATCCATTAACTGCCCACTGGTGGAAGAATGCACTTTTAATTTCAGATTTGGAAAAGATGCATATTCCAGCTCCAATGACTCCACTATTACATAGTCGTACATAGTCACATTATTACAAATTTTATTACAATTCACCGTTTAACTGTATTTAATTCTTACCTATAAAAATAATACGAGTACGGTAGTACATCACTTGTCCTCTTCTTGATCCTCTCGTAATCTTCCGTAGTCCATATTTCCTGAAGAAATACGAAATCATACTTTCCAGTCGCCAACTCATCGCCGATAGCATTCATTCGTTGCACTCGATCCTTTGAAATGAACCGAATACCCCTGAAAGTAGCAAATAAAGACATATTGCAGATTCAAAATTCCTATCGTCATCTTAAAATGAGCTCAAAATATCAAACTCACGAACCAGCAATTCAGTGTGACTACACAAATTTCCGTCTCCATTTTCATCTTTCTTGTCATCAACTATTAGCTTAATACATTCAGTTCCACGGCAGTAGACACTTTCACCAAAAACACTGAAAATAAACCAAAAATAAAATTATGGGCGAAACAAAATCAATATAATTTGTTCTCGTTCGAGTCACCTGTTAAACTGTTGGAAACGATACTGAATGTTAAGAGGTTACACTCACAATTACGAGTTACACATTGCATATTCTATCTTATCTTTTGTCCCGATAAGATAAGACAACTTGTCAAAACAATGTTGAGTGAGCAGGGCACCCTTCACGGTGCACAGAATATAAGTTGCAAAACAATGAGATTGGCGCTAGGATGGGGAAAAAGGAACACGGAGCTCTCGTTCTCATGACTTTCTCTTTTACATGACTTATCAGGATTGTCTGTCAAGATAGTCATGACATACACATTTCCCATCTTGGATTACTCAACATGTGATCAAACTTGTCCTACATAATTTTCCGCAAAATATCAGGAAACGCTATTTTTATGCAAGTATTTACGGGCGTAGAGGACCTGTAATTGTGTATTACTTAATTCCGTTTTATGTTATAAATGCATATTTATGAATGCCTCCTGGAGGTGAAGGTCACTTTTGAGGTGCTGCACGTCGAAATATTCGTCATAAAAGTACTTTCAAATTGAATGGGCAAACAAGGATGCATTTTACACGAAGACATTCACTTTATTTTAATCATTTCTTTTTACAACAATTTGCATTTGAGACAGTACATGCAACGAGAATAATAATGATTTACTTTATTTAATTATGCAACTACCAATTTTGCCACGCTTGTCCAAATCAGCTAAAAACATTTGATAATTCATTACGTACAGAAATATTTTTCGTGACGACTTCTTCTACGAATTAGTGTGTGTGTTTGGTGGATATGTTTTCTTTCTATGTCCACTTTTTGTGTCGGCAAGATTATTAATATTACAATATATTTTATTACATAGAACACAACATTTATTTATTCATTAACAATTAACTCTAAATCATTTGTTGGTTGTATAATCATCCATTTATTACAATTATTTATACTTACTATATTATACACATTACTTGTACGTATGACTTATGACAGTTTTTATATAGATGTTACAACAGTAGAATAGCTTTTCTTATCTGGAATTCTATAAATTTTCAAAAATCAAAAATTATTCTGATGTCATTTCGCCGTCTTTTTACAAACTAATAGATACATACATATGTAAATAGTATACATATTTTTATGAATAGAGAGATAATTTTTCCATATAGATTTCTTTTTTCAATGCGGCATTAAATTAAAATGCGTTTACATAATTTAGTTAGCACAGTCAATACATAATTCAGATAAGAAAATAGTGGAATTCGCATTGTATATAAGTAGTTTAATAACTGGAGAGAGAGAGAGAGAATAATCATGGTGAGATGAACAAAATGCATAGTTTTCCCATGTGCTTTTCTTTTCTGCATATAAATCTATGCAATTAAATATACTTTTTTATGTGCAATTACAACATTTATTTAATAGTAAATATGGACAACGACAAGACTTTTACTAAAAGATCTACATACTTCTACATATAATCCATTAAATTTTATCATGCATACTCTTCCGTCTTCTTGTAATCACTCTACTCAGGTAACAATTTGGCATTTTCAGTTTACTTTATTACAACATTAGTCAGGAAATGATTAGTTAAATCATAAAAATGCTAACTATTTGACAAATATCTGTTCTACAAATTAATAATTCTGCAGATTTTGGAAATTACAGACTCTTTTGATAATATTACGCTACAATTAGTAGAGATACATATAGTAACAATGTTGCACATTTGGGAAACCAACACATATGTGCGTATTAAGGTAATATTATTAGCACCCATAATTGCGTCAATATTGGAGAGTATTCTGGTTCAATCACTTTTTACATTCTTTTTTTTGGCAATTAGCGCAAGATGGTTCTATAGATAGGCCACCAATTTTCTTGTGTTTGTGCCATTATTCAGCTTCGGGATTTAATCATTGGCACAACAGAACCGAACAATAATTATCAATATGATCCAACTCTTTTGGTTGGGAAATGCCTTCGTGATGTGCATCATGAAAAAGCGGATTTGAAATTCAATTGAATAAATGTCGACGAATCTCCTCAGTCACCTTATTCTTAGATGCGTATGACTGGTGTCATATTGATTTCTGGCTTTTTGTTATATCCGGAATTATTTATTAAATCGAGATCAAAAGTTGTGAATTTGAGAAACTTGTGTCAAATTCAGCGATGAAGTTTTGCTGAGCTTCGCACTTATTTGCATCAATATATATGTATGAGACTGGTTTGTATGGAATCAGCGAAGCGTGTGAAATCAAAGGACAGTTGTTGGCCCCAACAACGCCGACTTTGGATGATGATGATGCAGATACATCAAAACGACAGAAAGGCGAAGTCTCCTTTTTTCTACCCGACTGAACTCTCTTGCTCCTTGACCACGTAAATCACATTCTCAATGAAATTCTCCCCCCCCCTGTTTCTTACATATTTTATTCTATTCTCCAATTTCTGCAGCTTCAATTCGGCTGACGCTGACTGACTGAAGGTGAAAATTAGAGCAGAAGATGACGAACAAAGCATGTCAAGAGAATTACTCTTCAATCTTCATCAATAACTTTCACGTGGGTTGTTTTTTATATGTGTAATGATAATGCAGTGTCATGGTGTGCCTGACTTTCGGAATGTAACATTTCTGCTATTTCTGTTAGAATGGGTGCATTAATTTGTGTATCACAACTTGCTGAAGCACTATTGGTTTTCGTCCCTTTTCGTTCATCCATCAGTGATCACATCATGGGGGCCTACTCAATATACATTTTATGTATAGCTATTTAGACTGGTAACAGTGTACGTATAGCCGATTTCTGAAGAGTTCTAACAACTTTTCGCTACTTTCATTGAATTTCTTGTGGTTTGTTATATTTGTCAGTTAATAAGGAAATAGAATATGTGTCATCGTACTTAAGTACAGCCTACTTAAATACATACTTTGTTGTTTATATAGATATCTGATTAATTGACAACAGCATAGTGGCAATACTTATATATCAATTATCATCATTTGGTCTAAGGCATGTGCGTAACCAAATTAAAAATGGAGACATGGAAAAACATTATTTGCCATTGGTTCAACCGAACGATAGTGTTCAAAACGGAAAATGTTGCTTTAAAAAAGTGATCAATTTTGGTTCAGAGAGAGAGGAATTGAAATTGTGAAAATGGCAAATAACGTCGTAACAAAGATGAGGCTTCTTCATGAAAGCGTATACAATTCCGTGTGATAAGCCTCCCTTCGTCGTGAGTAGCAGAGACAGTAATATATTTTACGCACATACTTAAAGTGGTTTTGGTTGGGACTATTCTTTCATAATTAAGTGATCTGATCTGATGAAGGAGAAGGTGGTCAGCTCTTGTTTCTTTGTTAAACAGTACAGTTTTGTAGTGCAGTAATGTAGCATAGCAAATCATATAGCTTTGGACGTTGGTTTTGTTTAGCTGTGGGCATATGTATGTATGTAGATAGATCGTAGCTTTTTGTAATTGATGGCTTACTAGAACTTGCTACTTTTTCTATTAAGCGAGGTGGACTTGGCGTTAAAAAGCGTGCGCGATCCTGTAGATTCCAGTATATCCACACAGCCGAGCTCTTAATGCTGGAAGCAATTGGGCAGCAGAGTTGACATTCTCGAGAAAGTTGGAACACTCGCAAAGAAGAAGGTACAACTTGTCCCCTCGGAGGGCTGCTACATTTAAGAAAACGTTATATTAGAGTAATCTTAAGAAAAGGTACATTCGTGGTTTCGCTAGATTAAGGTGTGAACGATCAAGTGAGTGGAATTTAATAAATTTTCAGTGAAAACCCATTTACACAAACATTTAAACAAAGTTCTGCCGACTATGATTGAGTATTTTTTCATAATACTTTTGTTCGATACACCTTTAGTGTCATTTTTAGAGCTAATTTATAAACTCACCAGATTTATGGAGAGTTATTCGTCTCAGTCCCACGCTTTTTGGCAAGTGGCGATACAGAGTTCGAGCTCCTGTTAAGAGAATACTTAAATTAACCAGTTGGCCAGCAATGCAAAGAAATAAATGTGGTAAAGTTGGCTACAGGGGAAAATAATGCCACAATTAGGAGGCCGCTGCTGTAGATAGATTTCATTAGAATGGGTCGTGGTGGTCGTCGTGGTGGGGGATTAGTTTGTGTGAAAGAAGAGGAGTCGTCCTCTTCTTACAGACAACTTCGTGTAGGTTTTATGCTTAATCTGCAACCAGCCAGCCAACTTCATCTCAATTTCATACCTGTCCAGTAGAGCCAATTTCGTTCCAACTTCTCACGGTCATCTCCGTCAAAGACTCGAAAAATGGAGACAATATATCCAGTCGCGTTCGCCTTGGTCTTCTTTCCACCATTGTGCTCAGTGGGAGGTCGGGCGATGGTGGCAACCTAATCCACATGTTAACTCTTTAATTTTTAATGTCAGACAAGAAGAGAAAGTGAGGAGATACAAGGCGAGGAAGGTCATAACAGTTCTCGCAGCAGTTTTATGGCTACTCCCTGCCAATAAGAACAAAGGATGAGAGGGTTTCCGGCATTGCATTACATTCCCTCATCTCAAAAGCAGACTGAGTGCCTCCTCTTCCCCAAACTTGGCAAATCGTAGGATGGCAATGGGTCGTCTCTTTCTCTCCTGAAACGCTGATTGCTCCCATTTTCTACGTGTCAATCATTGCCAACACTACTTCATAAAAGGGTAAGGAGTATAGGGAGGTAGACCCTTAAAATCTGGCGACGTGTGGGTTGATAAAAACTGAACCCATTTAACCATTCAGCTCATTTTGCCATTTTTGAGTCGACAAGAGAAAGGTCTCAGACAAAAGGAGAAAGTGGAAAGAGTAGTTTGAGTTGACCAAAATGAAATAAATCCTGAGAGTATATTTCCTTCTTTCTTTTTATGTGAAGTACCACCAGAAGGAGTAAAAAAAGTGGTAGTGAAAGCACGAGGAGGAGGAAATGGTGATGGTGAAAAAAGGTAAGAAAACTTAATGTGTAACTCACCTCACGGCACAGATGGAAAAAATTATCCCCGCAGTGTCCGATGGTGGGGGGATCAAAAACATCTAAGGCATTCTTCCTTGCCGTTTCTAGAAAATCGGTGGCATCCGTCCGCAGTTTGGGCACCACGTACAAAGCCATTAAAGGGAAGTCAGCTGCGAATGAGAATATAAAACATAAAGTTTCTCTCAACAATTCTCCTGGTCCCTCATTTATCAGAGGTCATAAATCCGAAAAATTGATGTCATGTTCGTCTCACCCATTTGCTACAATTTGGGATCATCTCGTAAACTAGAAGTGAGAGCGAGACGACCAACAGACGGGAATATATTCCGTTGTAATGTTCTACTCTGGTATGGTTTGTGTATTTAAACAGGGGCAAGCTCGCCATAAGAAATGCGTACGAAATGTGCCACCGTTTAAATACAGAGACCACAGTCTACATAGCTCTCTAATCTCAAAGTACATGTGCTGATATATGAACAACTTTCTCCTCTGCTTTTATTGCGTTTTCTTAATTAGTGGAAATATGAGAAGAGAATTCGTGATTAGGATATCTCGATCTTTATTGTGCTCCCTTCTCCTTTCTCCTTGGGGTACTTTACCCATCGTGAAAAAGATTTATTTGGGTCATCAACTCGGTCTCTTATTATTTGAACGCGGAAGTTGTAACATCTCCATTAGCACGGCATTATGTGCACTATATGCAAATAAAATAATTTTCCTTCCCTCACCCAACTCCTCCAGTGAAGGAGGTGGGCTCGCCATTTGTGGTGGCTGGTGGTGATAACTTATTCGTACATATCGTGTGGTTGCAAGGTCACAGATTGCAATTTTGTCACGAAACCCATTCTCATTCTCTCTCCGATTCGCGTTGGTATTCCAGACCGGAATGAGAATAATTGTGCCCATTGCTCATTGACAGTTCCTTTCTCTGAATGAGATCAACCATAAATTGAGACACTTCTCTCTCGCGTTATGGATAATTTGCGGTGAGGCAAAGTCAACCATTTTGAATATCAATGAGCTAACCACCTTGGGCAACGTGGAAAGAAATTCGAAAATTTGTCAAGTTCTGTCTGGTGTCATAATCAGTAGTCTGTGACATATTGTGCGGGGGCAAGTACGGAATTTAAGAATTGTAAGACGTCAAAGTGATATTACGACAAGTTCCACTAAATAAGTTTTCAATCTATATCGAATTTATTAAGTGTTGAATATATGTAAATGGATTAGATTTTCATGTTAAATTCGACATGACTTTTGTTGCGATTGGGTAGTTAAAATTGGGTAATTGAACGTACAAACAATCAATCCTCTCCAATACACCATGCATTGCTACGCACTTAGCCAATACAAACAAACTCTGTTGGGGTTTGTTTGTGTACATAATACGGCTTAAGTTACGAAACACAAGTGCAAACTTTCCCCTATTGACTCAGTCTACATATACATGGACCCTGAAATTAATTATGAAACTGTAACCCACCAGCAGCACTGTTTTATAAACGATGACGCTGTGCGATAACCACACATGATAACGCCGGCAAAATAAATTTATTCATATCCATCTGTTCAACATTTGATTTGATCAAGGCAAAAATAAATATCTGTATACATAGCTTTCATCTGGCGTTTTCCTAACGCCAGATGTATCGGAACCCGAAGCCGTCGTATCATAACCATAATTTGTGTGGTTCCTTTGTACCAGTGAGAATCAAAAGATGCATGCAACGCGATTTAGTTTCTTCCTCCTTCTTTTCTCCCATTGTCTGGTGTGAAACTACTTGCGGATTATTATGCCAAGGTATCAGCCAGCTTACCCAACACGAGACAAACACATACCTGACACACAGCACATTTCCTCCGAACATTAGGTAATCACATCAACACTCACAAAACAACGATGCCACAACCCGTATTCAAGTGGATGAAGAATGGCACAACAGTTCACAACCCCCGTGTCGTCCTGCTTGTTCTTCTCTCTATACATCCCATCACTCAACCACTAACAAATCATAATTGTATTAATAAATGCATGAAGAAACGTCTGGATGGACAGATTCACTGATGATAAAGTGAAAGCAGGGCAAAATCCATTAGCGTCTCACATCAGTCGACTCTTGGCAAGAATGAGAGAAATCACTCTCAATCTCCACAACCAACAGGGAAGCATTGTGCAGTTTTGAGTTGAGATTTTTTGACAAATGATAACCTCCGACCACAACAATACGTAAGAACAGGATGATAACAATAGGGGAGGAGGAGACGACTGAGGAAATGTATACGATCAGTATTGTTATTTCTTCGTAAAGAGCGAAGACATAATCATAATCGAGGAAAAGTAATTTATGTACGAACAACATCCCGCTACTGATCTTGTTTTTCTATCAATTACTTTTCGAATCTTCTTGCTCTTTTGGTAGAAAAAATAACAAAGCAAAGAAATTCCTTGTCTGAATCTGTTTTCTTTTTGTTTAAGAAAAGAGGAAAGCAAGGATTTCAGGCTTTACTTTAGAAAAAATATTTGAAGTAGCAGCGATTTTAGGCAAAAAGGGAAAATCGATTGGTAATAACAAGTGGAGCCTGCATTGTGTGGAGCAAACAAATAAAGTAAAATGTTGTAGGGAGGAAGAAAATATGTCTCAAGCGAATACACCAGTCACTCTTAACACATAAATAAAAGATGGGATTCCGACCAAAGCTATAATAATGTTTTCTTCGCCCATGTATGTACTTTTCAGCCAAGGTGGGTTTTGGATGTGGTGGATGTGTTGATGACGTGAAGAAGAGATGACTTTTTATCACTTTAGAATCTCCTCGATATCCTCTGCGTAACTTTTGACCCTTAATGTTTGAAATAAAGTACATGGAACTAACAAGTTGTTTGTGTCAGGTGACTTGTTTTCTCCCGAACCTTAAGGTAACTTATTTTACGAACAATTTTTATGATACCGATGGGGACGATTTGGCCCGTATGTGGTGGTGGTGGGACCCACGGATATTTACAGGTTGAAAGAAATGCCTCTCAAACTTGAAGGGACGGATAAGGAAGGAGGTTGCTTGGTGGAAGATCTAGTAGATTACGAGTTGGATAGTGATTGATCAAGCAATTATTTTCTCATTTGTGTACAATGATTTCAGCGTGATGGAAAATGCTATTTGACGTATCACCTTAGGTAATGTTTAAGTTGTGCTTCGACACAATTTGTGCTAAGCAAACTACAAACGAAAGAAAAATGAAGTTTGTTTGTTGCAATAATAATGAAAGCGATTTTAGTCTCCTCGTTTATTATCGATATTATTTGATGTGGTGCTCTGATTGTAATTAAATTATCAATATGCGTAAGTACATATATTCCCTCTCTGAAACGGTTCTGGTTTCAGGAGATACGGTTTACTCATTCAGTGTGCACTTAGCGGCAACAATCGTTACGATAATGATGGTAAAAACTAGAAAGCCAAACTGATGCATGGATAAATTACACTTGAAGCAGGCATATACATGCATACATAACTAATAAATATAGCTTTCAGAATGTCGAGTTGTGTTTGTAAAATCTATTTCTCTTTATAAATTCGCTCGTGTTTGAACCATTCTCCACTTTCACAGGTTCCCATTTTCAGAAGCCCCATCAATACCAATACCGAGTACTGCTTGCTACCAACCAAACAAGTTTCACGGTTCTCTTATCAGCAGAAGTAGTGCATGTAGCGCGGGTACAAGTTTCTGTGATTCCGCGATCTCGGCGAACCTTCACATTTCATGGAACAGCAAACAAGGGAAAGTCATTTATCTACATATTGGATCTGCAGTGATACGGCTTTGTATGTACAAACTTGGACTCCTCCCACGTGCTCACTTTGTTCTCTGAATTGCAACCAAAACAGTTCCTCGAGAAGAAAGACGCGATGAAATGGAAATGAATTGATGGAGAGCAAAATAAATCTCTTAGGTCATGCATACACACTTATTTGTGGGAGTGAGGAGTCACTGAGGAAAGGAGCAATTTCCTCTCCAATTCTTCACCCTCTTCATTTTCATCCCAACCAATGAATAGTAATACGCAGCCAGAATGTACACACATACATTTTCTCTGTGTTATGTATGGTGAAAGTGGTCGTGGTGGTGAAAGTTGGGCGGAAAGGGACGATCCTGTTGCACGCCACGTGTAGATGAAAAACTTTGTTGGCTGGTGGACGAGTGCCAAAAAAGTGAGAAAGACCTTAACCTACTTGAAGGGAAAACCACCAACGCCATAACGTGGCAGTTTAATGGGGAGGGAAATCAAGAAGTGAGTTAAATTGCGTCACTCAGACGAAGAATCACCACATTTCGTCCTAAAACCTTAAGCCATGCATCTTCCTTATCGTCCCTTCTGTACTATTCAGTCCGAAGATGATGATGACGACGACAACGACGACAACGACAATGACGACAGGCCACAACAACGTATGAGGACGTACATGCACAATTTAGGTCACCTTACTACAAGCTGGTCTTTGTCGCATGTTATTGAGCAAGACAGCGTTTATAATATACTTAAATAACTGTATGCTGTACTTTGCACATGTACATACATTCATACATACATACAACATACTTATATTGAGCATGCATACTATATACAGCTATTACAAATCTTTATTGTGATATTTTGTGTACAAAGTTCAACACTTCACTTTTTTAAAGAGAAAATTTATTAACTTTGGAGCATGGAATGGAAATGACCATCGATAATTACGAATGGAATTGTGTCCAAGTGGAAAGAATGCTTCTGACAATGTGATTGAGTGATATAACAAAAATTCTGTAGTTCCTCCTAGTCCATTTGGACTAGTTTTATGGTTTTATAGGTCGATACTTGTGTCTGCCCAGTCAATAAGAGTGGAGTTAACGATGTGTTAAACACGATAAAGATTAGCACGCTGTTTAACCAACTATCAGTTTGACTCCAAAAACCAAAAGGTTATAAATCAAAAGACGGTTAAACACATTTTTACTGCTTTTTAGACCCTCTGCTCTAACCGTCTAGCACCTCGTAGCAATACTATTAATCTCACCTACTTACATGTATTTACTACCTGTATATTTATATTTGCAACCGAATCACCATCAAATACATAGGTCATCAAGGCAATACAGTTCCCACAC